ATTTCCAAAAAATCCAAAAAATACCACTCTTTTCCATAAACGGTAACCTCACCCTGCGGTTTATGCAAAAATTGCTGGGGGTCGCGGTTTTTGTTCCTAGCGGCGAAAACTGCATCGGGACGGGGGCGGTTTGATTCACCGCGTGGGGTACCGGCAATTAACATGCAGACTTCGATCAATGCCTAACCTAGGCTGAAACTTCAAACAAACGTAACTTTTCGTTGGGTATCCGATCGTAGCGAAATTTTTTTGATTCCGCATAACTTTTTAAGGACTACAATTTTATCATAGCCATAATTTTGAAATGTACGTGGATTTTTGTAAAGTAAAGGTAAAGTTATTCCCAAGACCCCATGTATCCTAAAATAATTCATGTTTTATAAATCTCTTTCTTGTAAAAGTTGTAGTTCTTAAGAAATTATGCATAATACAAAAAAAATCGCTACAATCGGATAACCAGTTGGGAATTTTTTTTATAATGTATGTATTTTGGGAATTTTTTTAATAACATGTGTATTTGAGATTTTTTCCGATATTCGTGGTATCCCCTATTGACGGGACTAGTCCTCGGGAGATCTCAACTCTTCGGATGATATCTTATTATCAATTCGTTAGTTATGGTCGAAGTCCTTACACTTGCTTTTATACCGTTACAACAATTCTCATATACAGCAAAGTAATTAGGGCATGTAAACAAGGCACAACACATGCGCAGTAGTGGCATCAGGCTGGCCTAGGTGATGTATAAGGTCCAATACTCTCCCGCAAGCTGGAGCGTGGAAATCAAGAATGCGTATCTTGGACAAGAGGAAGTGAAAACGTTCAGCACCAAGACCTTTCGTCAACACGTTTGCGAGTTGATGATGGGAGCGGACCTTCAAGAGATCAAGCATAAGAGAGAGATCAAGCATAAGACGTCCGGATCTAGTACAGGTTGTGAGGCATCGGGTTTGGCTGTCACATGTGTAAAGGGAAAGAAGAAATCTGGTAAAGGGAATTTGAAGAAGAATTCAAAGGGTCTTAATCCACAGCTAGGTGATGCTTGTCACAACTGTAAGGAAGTAGGGCATTGGAAGTACCACTGTCCCAGGAGAAGAGGGCAATAGATGAACCAAGGTTCATTTGCCGTGGCAGAAGTGGACAATAGTTCTGTAGACGATCTCGCCTTGGTTGTAGATGAGAAGGCACATCGTAGTGATGCGTGGTTTATGGATACTACAGCCTCATACCATATGTCTGCGAACAAGGATTGCTTCACAACCTACGAGTAGATAGATGGTGGCAACGTGGTCATGGAAAATGGAGTTGTCTGCAAGGTTTTCGGAATCAGGTCCATAAATGTTCGGACACATGATGGTTTGTTATATACCGAAGAAGATTATTTGAAATTTACTTGGATTTTCATGATGAAGCAGAAAAGTGAGGCTTTCATGAAGTTCAAGTAATGGAAGACATTGGTGGAGAATCAGATAGGGAAGAAGATCAAGAAGCTGCGAACGGACAATGGTCTGGAGTTTTGCCATTATGAGTTCAACGAATTTTGCGAGGATGAAGGGATTTTCCGTCATCGGACCGTTAGAGATACACCCCAGCAGAATGGCGTTGCAGAAAGGATGAACCAGACATTGTTGTAGAGAGCACGATGCATGCTCTCTAATGCTGGACTAGAGAAAAGATTCTGGGCAGAAGCAGTAAACATGGCGTGCTTCCTGATCAAACGTGGACCTCACATAGGTATCGAGTGCAAGACTCCTTATAAAGTGTGGTATGGTAGGCCTATTGATTACACTTCACTGAAAGTTTTTGGGTGTCCTTTTTATTATCATGTGGATGAGGGTAAACTGAATCCAAGGGCAAATAAGAGTGTATTTGTGGGTTACAGAGATGGAGTTAATGGATTTCGAGTTGACTACAATGAGAGTTTCTCACTAGTGGTCAGACATACTTCGATCAGGGTGCTACTAGCAATAGTGGCACATTATGACTTGGAGTTCGAGCAACTAGACGTGAAGACAACTTTCTTACATGGAGAGTTGAAGGAAGAAATATACATGACTCACCCAGAAGGATTCTAGGTTCTAGGAAAAGAAGACTATGCTTGTAAGTTGAAGAAGTCCTTGTATGGACTTAAGCAGTCTCCGAGGCGGTGGTACAAGAGATTTGACAGTTACATGCTTGATCTGGGCTACAGCAGAAGTCCATATGATTGTTGTGTGTATCACAGCAAGGTGGAGGATGGTTCGATGATCTATCTTGTTCTATATGTGGATGATATGCTCATAGCTGCGAGGTTGAAGTTTGATATCCAGAAGTTAAAGGGGTTTCTCAGTGCTGAGTTTTTGAGATGAAGGATTTGGGAGCTGACCAGAAGATCTTGGGTATGGAGATTCACATGGACAGGCCGAAGAAAAAGCTTTTCTTGTCACAGAAGAGCTACATCTAGAAGATATTGTAGAGGTTTGGCATGTCTTCAGAAAAGCCCTTAAATACTCATTGTGCTTAAAATGTTAATCTATCCTCAGCTTATGCACCATTAGAGGCTGAGTAGGAGTACATGTCGAGAGTCTCATATGCTAGTGTAGTAGGTAGCTTTATGTACGCTATAATATGCACTAGACCTGATCTTGCACATGCTGTTAGTGTTGTCAGCTGGTTCATGATACAACTTGGGAAGGAGCATGGGCAGGTTGTGAAGAGGATCTTCCGATACCTTAAGGGTACACATGATGTGGGGATTAGCTTCGAAAGTGATATAGAGTGATTGGTGTATGGGTATTCTGACTCAGATTATGCTGGAGATGTTGACACGAGGAGATCGATGACCAATTATGTATTCACTCTTGGGAGTTTTGTAGTGAGATGGAAGGCAACTTTGCAGTCGACGGTGACATTGTCTACTACTGAGGCAGAGTATATGGCGTTGACAGAAGCTGCTAAGGAGGGAATATGGCTGAAGGGACTGGTTGGTGATCTGGGTCTACATCATGATCAGGCAGTGGTGCATTGCGACAGTTTGAGTGCAATATGCTTGGCCAAGGATCAAGTCCACCATGAGAGGATTAAGCACATCGACGTGAGGTATCATTCCTAGATTACAGAGAAGGAGATTAAGGTGAAGAAGTTTGGCCCCACGAATAACCCTGCTGATATGTTCACGAAGCCAGTTCCACATGGCAAGTTCCAACACTGCTTGAGCTTGCTGAATGTCTTTAGTGGGTGACTCCGCCACACGGGGCATTGATGGCGGGAGAGAAAGAGAGAGAGGAGCAGAGTACATCACAAATTTCAGAGGAAGAGGATTCAAGTCAAGGTGGAGATTTGTCGGACTATCAGCCGCTACGAATGGAATATTCGGGGGTCTCGCTGACCGATCAGCGAGTGTCATCCAAGTCTGTAACCGTTTCCTTTGCCATATTGGATTAGGTTTAGACCCCACATGGAGATGTATAAATACTTCTCATCTCCTCTGTAATCTGTAATCTCCTCGATATAGTGAAACTGACTCTCTCTCGCTCGTGCACTAGCTAACACACATCGTGTTAGTGAACCACGTAAATCATGTGTCGTGTTTTCGATTCTCGCTTTCGTATTCTTGCTTTCTCGATTCCGGCGATTTCCCGATCCGTACCACCGCGTTTATAACAATATGTATGGGTTTTGAGGGAGATAGAGAAGTTATTAGTGAGTTTGATGGTGAATGAATGAAGAGAGATGGGGATTATGTAGTACAGGTTAAGCAAAGACGCTTTGCGTTAAGGGTCGGGATTAAATAGAAAAGAACAAAAAATCAATGTTGTCAGAACCGAACCGGAGCATGATCCGGTAATGCGAATGGTTCGCACTTTAGTGGTCCAACCGGCATTAGATCGTTTAAAAACCGTTAGAGAACCGGTACCTAATAAACGTTATCAGTATAAATAGTGGACATTTCTTAATCAGAGCTCATCTCTTTCCTTCGAAATTGTGAAATGGAAATAAGGATTCAATTTGAGAGCCCGACGTTTTTCGTTTTTTTCAATTTTCAATTTTTATAATTTTTTTAATTTAATTTAGTGATTGAATGGCAAAAACCGGACGAGCGCCTTGATCGGCTCGAACGGCTAACCGTCTCGGCCGCTCGCCAACCACTACATAAAACCGGAGCGGCTTTACTATTCCGAGCCAATTTTGTGACCGAGTGGCGGTTTTACCGGTCGGACCGAGCGGCTCGGCTCGGCTTTAATAACACTGCAAAAAATAGTTCCAATGCGGAAATGTTCAAGAGATTAGTCAACGTGAAAAGAATGTCAAAGGTGGGCATCGTGTTCATGGAGTATCAATCTGACATAGAAATTTTGGATTTCAGCTACCCAATTATAATTTATTTCTAAATTATACAATAGCCGCAATAAAAAACGTAATTATATATGATATGCCTAACAATCACAAAAAAGTTGTTTGCGATGGTTTTTTACGCTTTTTAACCGACGCTAAGTTTGGTCGTAATGGCCAATGTTTGTCGGCGGTCGGAACCTGGTCGGGCCTTCCATCTCCTTCGGCCCAAGTGTTCTTGCGGCCGTTTTGGCGATCGTTTAAAACCGATATATAATATTGTTATCCGACACTAAATAGAAATGGTTTCCCTTTATTAATTGTACTGGCCATTTAGCCCGCGCTGCGCGACGGGGCTTTATGTTTATGTTGGAGATTTGGATGATTGATGACACAAAATTTGTACATTTTTATACACACATTTTTTATGTAATTTTTGTTTTTCATTAATATATCTTTCCCCTGTATTTCGATTTTACGCTTGATTTTGTGGTATTTTCGTGTTTCAGAATAATTTAAGCTACATGGGAGAAACGTGGTTCAAACTTGATTCAAACCATGCCATAATATGAGAACAACGACCCGACGTTATGTAAGGAGGAAATACAGACTCATGGTGATAACGGAAGTGAATTCGGAGTGACTACGGGAAAAAGATCATTTAATCACGGTATCGTTGCGCCAGGGTTTCATACCCGGATTTCTTCTACAACAACCTGCAGCGCCGTCTGGCCTCTTTCCAGATTCCCAGTCGTGCTCTTTATAAGGCCGAGCTCCTCCTCAGTCGCGCGGATGCGACAATCGAGCGCCTCTGCTCTCGTCCTCATCTCCGCTAGCTCTCGGCCCGCCTGGCCGTCGCCGTCGTCTACGCTCGCATCCTGTGAGGCGGCGGTGTTCTTCTTGGGGGGCATCGTCGTCTCGATTCTGGTCAAAACCGGGCTCTGATACCAATTGACGCGTGACAGCCTCACGCGTCATGCACTAGAAATACGATAAGTAAAGAAACTGAAAGTACTGGGGTTTATTCTTCTTTGATAAATAAAACGCAAGGTTAAATACATATTTATAGGAGAGCCTCCATAAACCTAATTCTTCTTAAACATGGTAACCCTAACCTAGTCCAACTCTTACTAGAATTACCGACTAAATAAGAATAATAATCCGAATACTAATCCAACAATAAACCAATAAACCGAAAGAATATCCAAACAATTATAATAATGGGTAGACCGGCTCTGCCCATCGCTGCCGATCTGCGCAAATGCATCACCGAAAATAAAAATTCAAAAATAAATTTGCAAATTCCCGTGACTAGAGTGATACAATTAATTACTATAATTTTTCCCATGACTCTTTGTATACTAATTTGTACGGGAAACAGTCCCGTGATCAGAATCCCGTGACTAGAAATTGGTTTTCATGTAGTTAGTTCAGATATGAAATTACGAAGAGTGAAAGAGCACAAACAAACCGCATTCAGCCTGCCTGTGCATACTTTTTACAGAACACAGCTAATATCACCTGGATTGCTGCCTTGTCCACATAATTATCGAGAGAGAAATTAAAGAGGCTCCTTGTGCACAATCAACCCAAGTCGTCAACTACACATGCATGCAATTCACGTACAAGAATAATGCACACATGGAAGGAAAATGGACACATGGCTGGAATGAAATCAAGCTGCTCTTTCGGGTTGTTTGTATATGAGCAAGCAAGCTGCTCAAGAGAAGCAAGTAGCTGGCGCAAATGAAAGAATGGAAGCTGGCAACTGAATTAAATGGACAAGGAAGTTGCTGTCCATGGAAAGTTTGCGGAAGAACAGCGGGAAGCAAGCATGTGGACGCATTAAAATCAAACCACAAAAGTATCTTGTGAGTTAATTTGCTAATTTTGTGTAAAATTGCTAGATAATTAATTTGAGATCCGAATCACTAGTAACTAGTACTTGAGTAGCCAGCTGAAAAGGACCCTAGGGTAATACGACTTCAGTAAGTTTTACTTTCTGGATTATCTTTGTATGCGCTTTTAATGACATCAATGATTACAAAGCGTTATCCAAAGCCAGTGAGGCACGAGACGATTGGCATTGGAAAATACCTTTTTTCCTTGGAAATGACCTTTTATGAGTATCTTTTTTTTTGTGACAAACATTTGTCTCTCGCTACACATAATCTCGTTGTCAGAAATAAATTATATATGATGCTAAAAAAATAACGAAGTTTATTTGCGAGGAAGACTTGTTTTGTTTTAACATACACATGTCGGCAAAAATAATAATTATAGGACCAAAATACCCTTTTGTTTTATTTTTGAGGGCATTGGCTCATTGAAAAATGTGAAAATTTGATCAAAATTAAATTTCCGAAAATACCCTTTTTAATTTCCGTTTAGGATTTAGCATTGGAATAATAAATCATCGTAAATAAAACCAGTTGTGATCGAACTGAATTCGTTAAGAATAGATCTTTTATCTTCCAAAACTACCCTTATTTTCTGTGATGACAATGTGACATAAAAACTTTCTTAAAATGGAAACTAATTCTCATTTTAAAAAAATACCCTTTTATCTTTTCCGACAACCACAGGGTTTATTATTGATTATAATTCTTCACTAGGGTTCGGCTAAACCGAGGCCCTCTCATATATATTGCCACTCTCGTACCACAATTAACAAGAGTATATGCAAATTACATACAATCTCTAATCTATTGAACACGAACAAATAAGGGCAAGACTAGAAATCTAAGGGGTCGTTTGGAAGTTGCGATTGTTTTGTTGAGGTTGTTATTATGCATGTATTGTTTACAATGCATCATTTATTTGTTTTTTTAGCAGAAACAATACATGGATTGTTTCTGTGATGTGACAGAAACTATCGCTCATTTTGAGTGATTGTTATATCTCAACTTTTAGTTGTGATTGTTGAGTTGAGATTGTTTTGTCTCAGCTTTTAGCTGATGCGACATACACACATACCAAACGTTGTATTCTACAATGCATCAAATTCTACAATAAATGTATAATATTATACATGCATTCTCAAAAATACATCTATTTAACAATCGCAACTTCCAAACGACCCCTTAATATTTTGGGACAATCCACATCTACTTCTCGAGTGGCCGGCTGCCATGCTCTGTTTCCTTCCCCTCCCATCAAAACTTATCAAAAAGCAAAATCAACTAACAAACCCACATGAGAGCCAAACCGTAAATTAATACCATATGGTATGCTCCTATTTAATACCATATGGTAAGAAATCGTACCATGATAGTATGAACATACCAATATGGTAGGAAGTTTGAATGCATGATAGTAGGAATATACTAACTGTCATTTACGACTTTCATCATTGTTTACCACAAGTTACCACCGAAATACCATAGTGGTAAAGTATGGTAATTTTTGGTCCTATATTTTTTCAAATAGATCATGATGAACTCGTTTCTTCTGAGCAAACGTTTTAAAAACGACTGAAATATGAAGAAGTTACCATATGGTATGTAGTTTCTCGAAATATATTGAAAATTGATCTCATTTTGTAGAGCACAACGAACTTGTTCCATCAATGCAAAAAAATTGAAATCCGAGTTAGAACGATGAAGATAAGAGCCGATTAAAAAACTAGGGAAATAAATTGCATTTTATTCGCAACCCTTAGATCGGGATTTTTCTGAGCCCACGTAGATCTAAAGGTCCAGATTTAGTTACTCAGAGTTCAGTAACCTCGTTCTCACAACAGCTACACGGTAAGGACACCAACCACTGAGGCTACGGGTTCTTTTTTGTCATTTTAATTCTTTAGTTCAATTTTACTTAAATTAAGCTAAATACGTAAAATTCATCTTGACTCATAGTGTTAAGGCTTTTTTGTTTTTGAACAAGTTAGGGTTACTTCTAAATTTTCCAAAATATTAACAAACTTGATTAATACCCTCTTTTGGCCTTCTATTTTTCATACATGTACTTGTTTACCTAGAAATCCCCCTTAATACGAAATCTCGATCAATAGACCATGATAGTCGTTCTTGAAAAAATTCTTCATGTGACTCCAGTTGTCGGCCGAATAATAGACTTCACATCATAGTAACAATCATGGAAGTTGTACATTTACCTTATGGTAAAAGTTCAATTGAACTTGTACCCGTACCTAATGGTCTAAATTGAACTTGGACATATACCTTATAGTAAAAATTCAATTGAACTTGTACATGTACCTTAATGGTCTAATTGAACTTGTACCTATATACTAATAGTCAAATTGAACTTGTACATATATCTTATTGGTCGAATTGAACTTGTACATATACCTTATGATAAAAGTTCAATTAAACTTGTATTTAAATGTATATAAATTAAGAATAATTTGATAACGAATCAACAGATTAATTATGCTAATTTGAGGATTTTTTTCTTTTTAAAACGTGAAATAGTGTAAGTAAATTATTATACTCTGGTTAAGCTAATTAAATATAGATATTGATTAACTATTAACAAAAAAATTAGTGTAGCCTAATTGGTTAAGTATGTTGTCTTTCATATGGAGGACCCAGACTTAGCTGCTCCTAATTTTGTCTCTCCCAACAGGTTGCCGGCCGAGTAGTAAAATCCTCCCAACTCACCAACAGTTGTGATCGATTAAGGAAGAGAAAGTGTTAGAGGAAGACAGGCGAAGGCAGCTATAAATAAAGAAGATATGGAGTTCTTGTTTTCTGAGTTGCGACCTAGAAAGTCTGATGGAGGAAGAGAGATGAAGACCCTTGATATTCTGTAGGTTTGATTTCTAATTCCCATTACTAACCTAACTAGCAGTTCACGAGGGTAAGAGATGAGAAACGACAGCGTTGAGTGGAATTGGTGGAATGCTTAGCTGGAATTCAGAGGGCATAGGCGACCGCTTAGTCCCTAACCGCCCCGCTTAAGCGCTACTAATTAGAATAAAGCGCCCCTAGCGTTTTCCCAACGGTTATGGCCAAATCAATGCGTTCTTCCACCGCTTAAGCCTTGGCACTCTTTCATGAACCCTGGCAATAACGAACACAGACAATGATATACGTGATATCCCCGATTGACGGAAATAGTACATGGGAGAGCTCAACTCTCCGGCTGATATCTTATTATCAATTCATTAGTTATGGCCGAAGGCCTTACACTAGCTTTTACCTTACAACAATTCTCATCTAGGGCAAAGCAACTAGGGCATGTAAACAAGACACAAGCATGCGCAGTTGTGGCAGAAGGTCGTCCATGAGTGGGCTGGGCGGGGGTGCCCGATGTACTGGGTCCAATAAGATCGATTTAATAAATTGGATACAAGATTGTTATCTTTAGAGTTAAATGAATCTCGTAACATAGAGAGATTAACTTGGTCTTTGATTTAATTGAGCTCGCATATATAGTAGAATAAACCCTATATCCAACTGAATGACTATATGATAGAAACAAGGTTTCTATCATGTTTGATAATTTGGGGATTAGGGTTATACAAACAGAATTGGGCATTTGAGAAGAGAAGGATAGAGAATCAGCCAAGGCCTTTAGAGGGGTTGAGATCGAGAACTAAGAGGATTGGGAATTTGGGGGAAAAGAAGAATATAAGATAGAATCGGCCGAAGCCTTAGAGGGCTAGCGAACGAGAAATTAGGAGATAGAGGATTACGGTTTTGGGAGAGATACTTTCTGAATAATTGTTCTTGCTTATGAATGAATGACAAAGTACATATTTATAGGGAGTACTAGGAAACCCTAATAATAATCCTAACTTGTCTAAAATACTACTAACCATATTTAATTAAACCTAATAATAATGATAATGATAATGATGACATAGAAACTAGTTTCTGTCGAAGGCCGGACTCTGAAGCTTTGTTGGTGCGATGCTCGTCGACAGCGATGACTTCAAGTTCGATGG